TGGATATTCGTGAAAATACCCAAAAAAGAACTAAAAATCTGAGAAGTTTGAAGAAAAGGGGTCCCACAAGAGCTAAAAACCTGAGTGTAAGTTCTGGACCGTTAAGAATTTGCGGCATCCACACGCCTGGCAGATTAGGATCACACGTGGACATCGTGACAAAAGATAATGCTTCTGCCGGCTTCCCGTGGTGTTGCGGAGGTCTGTGCGTAGTGTAATAATTAGCATTATTCTTCTCGAGTAATGCTACATGTACATAACCATTCACATAATGGTTCACATAATTACATGTGGCATGTAATTCAACCTTTAATTCAAATTTCACTCTTACACATCAATAAGTGGATAATTGTCTGTCAGTATTATGTGAACTATTATGTGAATGGTTATGTACACCTAACATTATTCTTCTCACGTAACAGTTGGTTTCGGACCACAGCGGTTGGCACGTCAAACCATTGGAATATTTATTGGGAACTAAATAGTCTATTCTTGTCAAAATTTAAAATCTGCTGAAAAAAATCTAGCTCTTGTTTGACTCACATTATCTTAAAATATATTTTTTCAAAATTTATTTTCAATCACACATTATTCAGTAAAATAATATTTTTCATCACATCAAATTTTTCCTTTCTGTTTAACTACATATTTTTCATCATATTACTATTTAAAATACATTCTTTCCTTAATAATATCCATAAAATACCCCCTAATTGTAAAGGACACGAATGTCCGTTCAATCGCAATAAGGGTCCGTCTGATTGTAAGAGTGGAATTTGGATGGAAAAAAAATGAATTTCAGGGAATTGAATTGCCTAGAATTGTTTTCTTGAAAATTGTCAATTAATTGTGTTTGATTGATATAATTTTCTATCAGAAAAATGTTGAAATTTTGGATCTTTTTGTAATCGTTTGACTTTGTTTTTCATGAAAATTATCTATTAAAGGGAAAATTTTTTTTACAATTGTTCACGAAATTTGTTTCCATTGTTAAAAAATAAAATTTTTTTTTTTTAAAAAATAAAACCTAGAAATCCATTTCCCACCAATTGGCCAATTGGGTGGGAAATGGCTTTCCTCAATTGCCAAGAAAACCCACTGTGTGAGCACCAAGCAAGAAAATCAAATGTCAAGAAAATATTGGGCATCAAACAAGGTATTTGATTGGTGTTATTTTCCCTAGAACT